ATTGATGCTGTCATCATCATAATTATCACTGATATTAACGTTGCTGTTTCTAATCATCATCACTAGCGTCCCTGTTATTATCATTCCCAGCGCCAGTGTTCCCACCACGCCCTCCCTCTGCGCACTTACCCTGGCCAGGATGGAGCCCCGAGCAGCACCGTGCGGGAGGCTGACCTTGGTGATTTTCTTGCTGACGTCGCCCTCGTACAGGTTCTTCAGTTCGGCGCTGTCCACCGTCATGGACACGCGCGGCTTGATGGACGCAGAGTGGAAGCTGTAGGACACGCGGCGGCCGGTCGGGGGCTGCGGGCCAGAGGGGAGGGGGGGTTATAGACAAACTCATGGATATATATTATATATATGTATATATGTATGCATATACATATATATTACTTACATAAATACACATACACACACACACGCACACACACACACACACACACACATACACACACACACACACAAACACACACACACACACACACACATATATATCTATGTATATATGTATATATATATATATGAATAAATAAATCAATATATATATATAGATAGATATTTATATACATAAATACACACACACACACACACACACACACACACATACATACATACATATATATAATATATATATATATATATATATATATATATATATATATATATATATATATATATTGCACTTTCGGACAAGAAAACGTCCAATGAACCTTAAAAAGGATCTGATTCCGAAAGGAAGGTTTATAAATATATTATATAATATTATATATATGTAATATATATATTATATATGTATGTATGATACATATATATAGAGATATATAGATAGATAGATTAGACAGATAGATAGAATAATTTAATTACAATACACAGACACACACACACACACACACACACACACACACACAACACATATATATATATATATATATATATATAATATATATATATATATATATATATATCTATATATATTGCACTTTCAGGACAAGAAAACGTTCAATGACCTTAAAAAGGATCTGATTTCTCAAGGAAGGGTTCTCACCGAATGTTTTCCCTTCATTTGATTTTTAACTTATTATTGGAGTCTGAGGTCTTTTGCTCGTGGACTGTGACCAGTAATCCGAGACTACAGTAAGAACTTCTTGTAATACAACAAGTCCAGATGAAGAAACAAGAAGCGACAACGAAAATAACAAAGAACAAGGGGCGGAGGCAAATTTACAGGTACTATGGGACAGACAGACACGAATATAGACTTGTTACCGAAGAACGAAAGCTCCAGTGGGACAGTATAATCAGAAGGGTGCAGGAGGAAGGGGCTTTTGTTAATTACACTCAAGCCGTTTGGACCTGCCCTGTTATTGTGGCGGCTTCCGTTGCCGTTCGTGTGTGTCTGCCAGTGATTTATGTGTGTATTGTTACAATGTTTCTGCATGTTGGTTGTGTGTGTATGTCCAGAGATTTAGTTGTATATATGCGCTCTTGTTTGTTGATGTGGTTTTCTGTGAGCTAATGGGTTGTTGCACATGTTGTTTTTTTTCCATTATTATAAGGGAATTTCACCGCACATTATTTATTTTTTATTTTATTTTTTTATTTTATTTTTTTTTTGCTTTTGTTTTTTTTTAGAATGGCGAATGGAAACAGGGACAATAACAGACACACGCACCAGAGAGACGCCGAAAGACGCAAGGACCAGCCGAGAACAGAGGGGCAAAAGAACCGCCACGAGAACGATGGAGAGATCTCGTCGGTGACTTTTGTATAGTTCCTATTGTCTAAAGCCTTCATTAGAAGGTGATTTAGAACAAAAGGGGTTTATTTGTGATTGTTTACATCGTTATTTAATGACTGCTAATTTTGATAAATCAGCGCATTGGTTAACTGCCCAATCGTCTGTTATCAATTAGTGATGACTTTTCTCCATCCTTCCCAATCCAAACAATCAAAACAAAAATACAACACAAACGATACAATCATCGCCAACAACAGGCAGAATAAGGGAAGAAACAATACAACAGACACAGCGACGGCGACCCGCAGCCTCAAGACAAGAAACAACCATTATCCTCAACAAAAAACAAACGTAAACAAGTAAGGACCAGACACCAGAAGGTGGCCGGACACAGAAACGCGTAGAGAGCCAAGCCAAGCCGTTCCAAATACCTGTGCTGGGATGATAAAGGAACGTGTCAATCTTCTCGTCCATTCAGGAGCTGGTCCTTTCCGGCGTTCCGTCAATTGGGCTCGAAACCGTAGTCAAGGCCAGTGAGGAGTTCGCGGGTTTTGTGCGTCACGTGAACTCGGCTGTGGATTGAGACAAGGGGCTGTGAAGAGTGAATGTCGGACTGGGGGATGAGGAAGGGAGAATAGGGAAAGATGGAAAAAGGAACGAATGAGGAATAGGGAAAAAAGGGAGAAGGGTGATGGAATAGAGCATTTGTGCGGCATGGTGGGAAGAGGAAGAGAGATTAGGGAAATTATGGAAAGGAAACGA